CATCCCGCGTTCTACCGCCCCCTGCCGGGGCCGCCGGGAACACCCGCCCTGGGGCCCGCCCCGCCTCCGGGCCCCCTCAGCCCCATGAGCTCCGGGATCGCCTCAGCCCCACGGGTCCCAGAAGCCCCCACAGGCCCCGGGATCACTTCAGCCCCACAGGGCCGGCCCCACCTCAGCCCCTCAGGAACCCTCACAGGCCCATGGGTCCCAGCCTCCCCTCAGCTCCATGGGCCCAGGAGTCCCCACAGGCCCCAGGACACCCTCAATCCCCACCAGCTCTGGGACCCCCTCAGCACTACGGGCCCAGAAGCTGCCACAGGCCCTGGGACACCCCTCCTCAGCCCTGTGGGCCCCATGACCCCCTCAACCCCACAGGCCCTGGAACCCCTCAGCTCCATGAGCCCAGGAGCCCCCACAGGCCCCAGGACCCCTCTCAGCCCCAGAGGGTCCTGGGCCCTCCTCAGCCCCAGAGACTCCAGCACTCCCCTCACCCCACAGGGCCTGGGACACGCCTCTGCCCGGTGGGTCCCAGGGCCCTCTGAGCCCCATGAGCTGAGCAGGAGGCCCCCCAACCAGGTGTGGCCACAGTGACCCGCTGCCTGATGAGGGACAACTCCTCGCCTCCTTTTTGGAGCCAAACCCAGCGCAAACAGATCCCCAGCAGTGCCCAGGAGTGCTGCTCCCCCTGAACAGCTCCGAGGGCTCCCCACTGGGGGAGAAAATTGCTTGGAAGCATTGGTCCTTTTCCTTGGCAGGGAAAACTTGGTCCCTGCGGGCTAGCTCTTGTGCACAACAGAATAACGAGGTACATTCCTTTCTCCTTTCTCTTCCCCCCTCCCCTGGCTACTAAGTGCCACAAAACCCTCTTGGTAACTCCAGCTGAACTTTCTTCCTCACACCCTTTCCCCATCCTTAAACCAAACACTCCACATTTCAGCCCTAGATGACCCGAAAGCAGCAGGGAGGAGGGGTGACACCTTCTTGCAGAGATGCTGATGGCACTTCTTTCTCCAGGGAAGACACAAACGTGACACTCTCGGGCTTGTTTTCCAGCTTGGCTGTTGTGTCATTCCCCATGCAGTTCGGGTGGAGAGGGGCTGTTTTCACACTCCTACCATGCTTTTAAAAATAGCTGGGTTTATTTTAACACTCCTGGGCTCTTTGGCTGTTTAAAATGCTTAGTAAGTTATACCATAATAGAAGTTATACCTGCTGATGCAGGCTATTGTCATCAGCTTCTTTCCCGTGTAATTCCAGATAAGGAGATGTGTGACAGATCTGAGAAGGGCTGCTCAGGCTGTACTCGGCAGATCTGGTGAGTTTTAACAGTTTCCCGCAAGGGAAATTAGCCATTTCATGGTGTCCCACACAGTAAGGGTGCTGCTGGTACATTTTCAGCCCTATAACACACACCCCCACACCCCTCCGGTTTTCTTTCTGGAGATGTTTCCACAGCCACATGTCCCCCGCACTGTCCCTGGGAGGTGGCTTAGCCTCTGCCCAATGTGTAAAACCTTGCACGTGTCCCTGGTAAAGCTGATCCCCTTATTTTAGGTTGTTTCTCAAGGTCATCCCAGCTCGGTGCCACCAGCAAATTAAAAAGCATGCACCTTTCCTCGTCAACCCGGCTGCTACGGAAGGGCGTACGGGAGCAGGCTTCCTTGCCGTGGCCACAGCTACTCAGCCACAGATAAGTGCTCCACAAGGATAGGTTTCCTTCAGGGTTTTGCACCTTCCATTAGTCACTTCCTCACAGCTTTGTTTCCTGACCGGCTCATGAGAACATCAAGTGAGGTGGTTAGAGGCCCATCACTGCTGCTAATTGTCAGCACAGAAATGCCAAAGAGCCAACACGTATCGAACTCTTGGCCAGAACCATGGACTTCTGAGAACTTCAATCAGAGTGGCTCTTTCTTCTATTATTTATGCCATGGCAGTGCTCCGAGACCCACCAGAGCCAAGAGAACGTCACACCATACATCCATGTGAAGCCAATATATCCACCCAGCAAACTACCCAGGGATGAGGCTGGGAAGGATGCGTAGCTCGCTGCAGAAGGTCTGGGGGAAGTGTGAAACCTGCAACAGAGCTTGAGAGTGGGCAAGGATCTTGCAGAACCGTCCTCTCATCTACGTGATCCGCTGTCTGCCCATTTGGGCGCCCAGTTTGAGTTTGGGGTTAGTGTCGGTTGAAACCTGTTATTCGCTCTGGAGACATTCCTCCAGCAAGAAATGTTTCATGGCCAGGGTAAGCATCTTGGTGCTGGGGGTGCCAGCTGAGGGCTGCGAAGCGCCCAGCACCAGGGAGGCTCTGCGGCCTCTGTCAGTGGGCTGTCGTCTTCTCATTTCTTGATTGACTTTCGTCTGGTTCTGCCTCATCCCTTCCAAGATGTTGCTCTCCTGAGAGAGTAACCTCACCCTGCTCCTCCTTGCTTGCCTGCCTCCAGCGCCTTGGGAAGGATTCAGCACATCAAGGCAGGTATGTCTGCAAAGAAGAGAGCCCCACAGCCTGGCTGCTCCCTCCTGGGAACCACCATCCCTCTGCAATGATGGGCTCCCCTTAGGGCTTTGCATCTCCCATCAGCAGCTTCCTGTGGAAGTTGCTAAAGGCAGGCTGGGACCACGGGGCGATGCCCAGGACTCAGAGAGGTGCAGAATCCTCCCTCCCTCAAGGTGCACAGGTCCCCAGGAGACAGCCTTGAGCAGCCTGCTTAAGTGCTGGGGTAAACCCTGCTTGGAGCAGGAGCTTGGCCGAGAGACCTCCAGAGCTCCCTTTGCATTCGACACCCACCTGCAGTGCTGCCATCTGAACCTGGAGCCTCAGTGGGGTGCAACGAGCTGTCATTTCCTGCGGAGTGATGGAAACGGCCACCACCACCTCCAGCATCCCCCACATCCCCAGGCTGCCTGGGACAATGCTGCATGTCCAGGGCACGGGGCAGTTTGGGGAGCCTGGGGCTGGGCCATAGGAAGCCAGAAGAGAACGGGGTCCCTCATCTGCTGTTGAACAGACACACGGTGAAGCGGGAAACCTGGATTTGCTCCGAGCCATATTCCAGCCCCATGCGGTGGTGATCTCATGCCTCAGCGGCCACGCCGGGCCAGAGCTCAAGGTTGTCCCAGCAAGGCTGAGCAGAGGTCAGAGCAGGAGGATGTTCAATTAAAGCTGCTTAAAAAAAGAAATCCAACTTTCCATATGCCTCCCTGGAGAAAAAAAAAAGCCCCAAAGCTGAGTGCAAAGGGGGTGCCAGGCTGGGGGCTGAGTGTGACCCCAGTGGCAGAGGTGACTCCGGCTCAGCCGTTCCCACCACGTCTGATCCGTGGGGATTGAGGTTGCCTTTTGGCATTTCCCTATGGAAAGGTGGACATTTGGCTCAGCAGAAAATCCCCGTGTGGGCTCGGACGGCGGCCAGCCCTGAGACATAGTGTCCTCCAGGCTCTGCACGGCTCCCGGCACTCCCTCTCCCCTCAGCGTGCTGGGGTGCTGGAGGCAGCAAGGCTGGTGCCCGGCTGTGCTCCTCTATGGGGACACCCAACTGGGACAGTGGCGCTGGGGACTGTGGGAGTGCAAGGAGCCATCCCATCCCTACCGGTGGCCCTGGCACAGCTCAGCCCATCCTGTTGGAGAAACCCAAGTGCATCCCCGCAGACGAGGAGTGCTTCCCCCGATGGCACCTTCACCAGGAGGAATTTCCCTGGGCGAAGGAGAGGAGGATTCATCCATCGTGTGGCAGAGGCGGCGGGTGGGTTGGCCCTTGTGTCGCCGTGCCACGTGTGCTGTCCCGCTTGCACAGCTGCCCAGAATAGTGTCACCATCTGGTTCCAGCTGCCCGGGGACACGGGGGCCTCCCCAGCCCCTTCTGCGATTACAAAAAGTGAATTCAAACATCAACGCAACCTAACTCGGCCTTCCTTTATCCCCTTTTCTTTTTTTTTTTTAATAATTCAGGTTTGTCTCTTAGAAAAGAGAGAGGGAGATAATGTCTGTGGAGCATTTAATCTTCTGCTCAAAGAACAGCAGAGAGCAAATTAGGATCTACTCCAATTAATTTGCCTTGATGGGCAAAATCTGGAGAGCGGCCATATCTGGGAATTAAGAACAAAAGCGGGGAGTGTAAAGTAGGTCGCCGGAGTTTCATAACGGCAGTGATGGGTTTTCACAGCACTCCGGGTGCTTCGAGGTGCCTAGTGCTGGGGGCTACCAGTCCCTGACCCCCCCATCCAGCGGCCATGAGTTTCAGCCTGAGCTTTAAGATGCCAGCCAGCATGCGGGGAGCCAGCTCTTCAGTTTTAGGGGCAGGAATGAGGACATTGTCCCTCCTCACAGCCAAACACAGCTGCAGGACTGTCCCAAACCCAAGGACTCAACAGGAGGATGGACACTGCCTGCTTGTCCTGATTTTCGAGGACCCGGAGAGCTTTCCCGGGGGTTGGCATGCCCAACCGTGCTGTTACGCTGCCACTCCTGGCCTTGCGGGTGCCTCCTTGAAGGAGGACTAGGGGTGACAGGGGGACAGTGGGTTTAGGGCAGTGCTCTGCTATGGACCCTTGCACCATGGGATGTCACCAAGCAGCGGTTGACCCACAGGCCCGACCTAGCCTGGTATCCCCAAATCCCAGCCCTGGCTCCATGGAGCGGGCTGTGCCTGCAGGCTGGGCAGTGACAGACTCTGGTGTCACGTATGGTGACACCTTCCAGCTGCAGGACACGTGTGGTAGCACAGCCAAGGGTGTGGGACATGTCGTGACATAGCAAAGTGTGTGGGACACCTGCAGTGACATCTTCCAGGGCACTGGACATGTGCGGTGCATCTTACTGTGTGCAGGATCAAACGCCCGGAATGTTTGGTGGGCATTTGGGAAGATCCCGCAAATACCCACAAGCTCCTGGTTGGATTGAAGTGGCACGGTTTGGTGCACGCCAGTGTCACCATTGTGGTGATGGACTGGCAGAGCACAGCTTCGGTGGACCTCCCAGTCCCTGGCCACCTCCCGCTGCCCCGCCGGAGGACGATATGGAGCAGCTGGCGGCGGCAAGCCCAACGCTCCCAGCCCATGGAGGGGCCAGCGGGGCGACAGGCGCTGTGCCGTGCGTGGCCGGTGCCTGTCTGGCGTTGATCCTCTTAGCCACCCTGTGGGGATCTGGCGCTAATTCACCCTTAAACACTGGATTGTCAGGAACTGGAAAGGAAAGAGGCGATGGATTATCCCCCCGGCACCGGCGTTAAACACAGGGAGGAGCAGCTGCTGGCTGAGGAGAGCCGGGACTGACGGGATTTTGCCCTGTGTCCCATGAAGGATCGGCACCGTCCCCCAGCTGCCTGTCCCCGCTCCTCTCCATGTGATGTTTTGTGTGTGTGTGTGTGTGTGTGTGTGTGTGTGTGTGTCCCAGCTCATTTATTAATGAAATAAACAGCATGAAATAAATACGGGGTCCCCCTGTAAAGCTGAGGGCAGCGACCGCTCAGCCCTCCCAGGAAGCACCATGGCACAGCAATCCAGGCATCATTTCCCGGCCCTGGATGCCAGCAGGTGACTGGAGCAGGCATGGTGACATCCCAGAGGTCAGGGATCACAGGTTTCAGGGACCAGACCTCACAGGAAGAGGTTTTGCAATGAAATGAGCAATAATTTTTTATGAGGACAGCGATAATTAACCTTCTCACTTGCACGCCGAAGGCTTTCAGACACGGGCCAGCATGCAAAAGCTTCCCAAAACCACAACCGTGCCCTGTGACTGGCCACGGGGATGCTTCTGGGACAGCCTTGAAGTCACCCGGGAGTCAAAGACACTGCAGCAACTCGCTCCTGGTGGCGGGCAGCTGCTCCTGCTCACAGATGAGCCTCGTGCAGTCTGTGGCGCGGTGGCACTCACATCAGACCAGGGATTTTTGGCGGCCGGGGGTGCTGTTGCCCTTACTGAGTGGGACAGCGTCCCACGTGCCAGCCAGATCGACCCGCCACCCTCGTGCTGTGCAGTAGGGGGGGGGGCCCATTTGCAGTTTTACCATCCCGTTCTGTGGCGGGTGAGGGGGAACGGCCTTTCCCTGGAAAGCGGGGAGGCCGCCCCCCCAGCCTGCGTCCAGAGGAGCTGCTTTACCACGAGGGGCTTTAGTAAGCTAAGGGGAAAAAAAATAAAATCTGAAGTTTGCAGCGTTAACAGCAACAGGGACGGGAATAACAGCATCTCCCAACGACCAACACAAGTTTAACCGAATTAAACTCCATCAGGACATCGCAGTTTAACTTCAGCAAGTCCCATGTGGACCTAAATGAGAGCTTCAGTTCCCTGGTTTTTCACCTGTATCAGCTCATCTGAAAAAAAAAAACCCACCTCCCTGCAAACCCCCATTTCCTCGATAACTGTTAATAGAACCAAAATAAAGGGGATGGAAAATGTGATTTCCTTCAGAAAACTGTCTGATCCCGCTGGCTGTCAGGGTCCCGTGGGCTGCCCGGTGTGGCGGCTGGCGATGCACCGGGGGGCCCAGAGCCGCAGACCCCCCTGGAGATCCCCCCGCCACGGGGGGCTGCTCCAGGGAGCATCTCCCCTCCAGTCCCCGGAGCAAACGCAGGAAGAATGCGAGGGGGACCCCACAGCAGAGAGACAAGAGAAATGTAAAAGTGTCTTTTAATACAAATATAAATCCATCTGAAGGGCTGCAGGAGGGGACTGTGCCCCACGAGGGATGCCCGGGCGGGAGGCGGGCTCGGTGGGGACAGTGGGTGCCAGTGCCTGGCCAGCGCTGGGGGACTGAGCTGGGGCATCAGCCGTGCACCTCGCAAGCAGGCAGGGCTGGGCTAGAGCCAGAGCCCCAGCAGTGGCAGGGCCAG